ATCTTTAAGCTGCCTCTACCTCCATCTGGAGGGGCGCACGTAACGGTCCCTCTTGGTTATCACACATGTCTCTTCCCACATTTGTACTCTAGCTTGTTGAATTTCATCCCTCTTTATAATGCTGTCCAGGCCACTTACCATTCTTTCGCTTAAGCCCAAAATGACATTCCTTTTAAGCAGTAAGTAAAGGCTAATACATTGTTTTCCTTAGTGTGCTTCTTTGTATTAGGGTCAGATTTAGTTTGTCCTAGGACTCGTAAATTTCTGGCAAATTTTCCTAGGGTTCTTTTAGAGCATTTTGGTTTAGTTTCTTTAGCAAATAGTTTCTTTAGCAAACATACTATCACCCTAGACCATGTACTTTTTTTATTCCAGAATAATTCCCTTCTTAAGCTATATGGAGGCGATGACATTTATTCATTGGATTATTTGTTGCTATAATATTTATTGCAACATAACTTTCAAGATTGAGGATACAGGGGAAACATATTTACATGAAAGAACAAGGTGGGAGATTGTCAAGCAAATTAAAATATTTGTGTAGCTCAGAAGCAAGCTTAGGTGTAGAGATAACTGTTTTATACGTCTTCACAGATAAAGTTATAGTTGAATTTTTTATAAACAGGAAAATTGAATCTCCAGATGAGTTTCTAGATGAGAAAAATGAAAAATTTGAAAGGAGAGTGAATGCAAACAGCAGGTAAAGACAGTAGAGAATAAACAGGAGAATGAATGGCAGTATAGGAGTGAGGAAATCTGACTTAGAAAAACAAAGCAATGAAGTTTTTTATGATACAGATAAATTGAGTAAAATAAAGGCAAGAAGTGCAAACTGAATGTGGCAAATTGGAGACCATATACGACTTTGCATTCCCCCACTTAGGTTCTATGAATCTAGTGGCCCTGGTTCTCAGATAGGGAGGGGCTACTCCTACCAGAGGACATATTAAGAGTACCACTGAGGGGCTAGTAGGTGGCATAGTGGTTAAGGCAGTGGATTCCCATGTGGCCAATTGTGGTTCAAGTCCTGGAGCTGGTAGCTTGAAAATCATGCCAGATGCATATGCATGCTTGCCCAAAATCAAAATCCCAGGAGGAGAATGAAGTAGAAGGGATTGTGGTGTGGCCATCCCTGTTAGGGGGATGATTTATCACTTTCCCTCCCACTATCTCTCTCTGACAAGCACACATATTCTGTAACAAAAACCTTAATAATAAAAAATAGGGGGAGGGGGGAAGTACCACTCTGGGCTCCTTATACCAGTAGACCAGTAAGCAAAAAAAAAAAAGAGTTACAATATTGACAGGGAACTTGCTTTTGGCCAGAACTGCCATCTTCCAGTAAGTCACCAAAATGATGAAGGAAAAGAGCAGAGGCACCTGACACATGTTCTCTAGGCCATTTAGAAAACATGGAGTGGTTCCTTTGGCAACATACATGTGATTCTCCAAAAAAGGTGATTTTGTAGACATCAAGGGAATGGGTACTGTTCCAAAGGAATGCCCCACAAATGTTCCATGGCAAAAATGGAAGAGTCTACAATGTTACTCAGCATGCTGTTGGCATTGTTGTGAACAAACAAGTTAAGGGCAAGATTCTTGCCAGGAGAATCAATGTGCGTATTAAGCATATTAAACATTCTAAGAGCAGAGATAGCTTCCTAAAACGTGTGAGGGAAAATGACCAGAAAAAAGAAGGAAGCCAAAGGGAAAGGTACCTTGGTTCAACTGAACCACCAGCCTGCTCCACCCAGAGAAGCACCCTTTGTGAGAACCAATGGAAAGGAGCCTGAGCTTCTGGAACCTATTCCCTGTGAAGTCACGCATGATGAGTGTTAAAAATAAACTAATCTATGGTCTATTAAAAAATAATTGACTGTGATAATGGGCCATAATCTTCATGGAAGGTCAGTTAGCTGCTACATAATGAGAATAAGAAGCACAGATACCCCAAGCAGGGTAATGGCAAGAGATGCTATTCCTGCTTCTATGCCTTGATTCCCTGGCCTATATGTTTTCCCACTTGAGGCTGTGGGTCCATAGCTATTGTTCCAAAATATATACCTCCTCCTAAATGATCATGCTCTATCCTACAAGATTTCTTCTCTATCCTGGCCTCCGAGTGGTATATTTGAGTCCACAGCCTTCTTTTATAAGGCTGGCAACTGGTGGTACAATGGTAGCAGGATCTGTATACTACTTGGTTATCACCTCTCCACCGTAATTCCTTGGCTGTAAAGGAATCCTTTGACCTGAGTTGATGTTATGTTGGATTTCAGTTTGGTCACCATTCACTTTAAGTCCTTGGATAGTGGGCTGGCTAAGGCACTGTGGGCGGGAAAGGTAAACTCAGACCAAGAATACATGTGAGTTCTGGCAAGATTGAACCTAGCCTTTTCCCTGGTGAAAGAATCCCATGTAATTGACTTCCCACCAAATGGCAAACTATTCTCCTTGAGAGATGATCTCTACATTGCTTTCGGTTATTAGGTTTTATTTTTTATTTTTTTGGAGAGGTTTTTGTTATAGGGCGCGTGTGCTCGCCAGAGACAGAAAGCGACAGAGAGACAGAAAGCGAGAAATTACCCCCCAGGGGGGATGGTCATGCCCCAATCCCTTCTCCTCCATTCTCCTCTCGGGATCTTGGGCACACACGCACATGCGCCCAGCGTGAGTTTAAGCCACTGGGTCCGGGACGCAAACTGTGGTCGACTACATGGGAGTCCAGCGACATAGCCATTACGTTAACTGCTGGTTCCTGGCTGCTTTTTTTTAAAAAAAATTATTTATTTTACATTCATTCACTATGTATCACTGCAGCATACAAAATGAGATTTCCCATCCAGAATACACTGTATATTGGCTCAATCAAAGATATTACCATATATCTTCAATAAGTAATTTTCCATTTCTTGTTTTTCATATATTTTGTTTCTTTTTTCCACCCTTGATTCCCTCCCTCTCACCCTCTGCCATTTCCCAGCCTCCTCCCACACTGTCTCTGGTATCTACAGTTGCTTTCTATGTTTTTTCTCTTTTTTCACTTTTTATTGATTCATAAAAGATCTTAATTAAGCTAAATACTTTCAACTGTAAGTGCAGTTGATATAAAGATATCTATGAACACATCTGATTTTAGTTATAAAAGTCAGTAAGTAGAATGAACATACTATGAAGTAGCATCTAGCTGAGGCTATATAGCTTACTGTGGTCATTAAGTAGGTTTTGTTTGTTATTTTTTTTAATTTCAAGAAAAGTCATTTTAGCTTTAATAAATCAAAAAATTTTAAAAAATTATGAAAAATTTGCTTAAGGCTTAAAGACAGGAAAAAGGTGAGAGGCAGTCCAACATTTTCTGGCAAATTCATCTGTAGGTTTCGCCTGCAGTGGACCCTCTCTGGCTGGCACAGGTGTACTATACATATCAGCCCTCATGCTTGGTTCAGTCCATCCACATGCAGACATCATACCTGTTCAAACAATAGGTAGATACTCAAAACTCAAAAAACAGATATGGACAAAGCTAAAATCTAGTAACACGTGCACTGTAATTTTCTTCTGAAACATTTTTTTTTCCCTCTCTCCATTCCCTTTTTTTTTTTTTTTTTTTTTACCAAAGAGAGGCATAAGCTAACTTATTTGCAAAACAGTAAGATTAGACTCAGTTTGGTCTGTTATTTGCACAAAGCCCTATAAGAATACTCACTGATTTAGCTGACTTTGCTGGAACCTTTTATAAGGAACTTTAGATTAGATTCTTTAAAAAGCCCCTCCAAGGCTACTGAGCCAAGTCAAGAACTCACCTTTAAGTACCTGTACTTGGAAGCTTTTTGGGCCTGTCAGGAAGTGACATTCTTTTTTTTTTTTTTTTGAGAGGTTTTCGCTATAGGGCGCATGCACTCGCCAGACAGACAGAGACATAGAGACAGAAAGCGAGAAATCACGCCCCGTGGGGGATGGTCACGCTGCAATCTCTTCTCCTCCATTCTCCTCTTGGGATCTTGGGCACGCACACACACGTGCCTGGCGTGAGTTTTAAGCCACTGGGTCTGGAACGCGAACCACGGTTGACTACGTGGGAGTCCAGCAACATAGCCATTACGCTAACTGCTGGTCCCCCTCTAGTTGTATCTTGAGATATGACATTCCAGTCAAAGCCCTGGCACTAACCTGTATTTCCACTTTCTGATGCAAGTCAACAGATATTATTGAACTTGTGCAAATAACCATTTTGCCACAAAATAAGAATACTTGCAAATATTTTCCAGTTTCAGAGGGGTCAGGAAGGGAGAAAAGTTTCCGTTTCAATTAAAAACTAAATTTTAGTAAATTGCTGAAGCTATCAACAGCTCAAAAAACAAAAATTCTTAAATCTGGAAAACAAAGCATAGAAGAAAATCAGTCATGTTTTAGTCAAAAGTCATTACGTTCTTTTTCAGCAGTTCAGTCTCATATAGTTCATCTCCCTTCTGTTGAGTTTGTAGTGTTACCATGGTCTGATCTTTCCATTTAAATCCTAGAAGTTAACATTCAACATTTTTATTGATGGCTGCTTTGTTTATAAACCATGCCCCGCCATCAAGGTGGCCAAGTGCAGAGGCTGTCTGACATCTACTGACCAACTCATCTGTAGGTTTCTCCTACAGGGGCTCTTCTCTGATTGGCACAAACGTACTATATATCAACCCTCACAGCTGGCTGGGCCCACCCATATGCTTCTTTTTATTTATTTATTTATTTATTTTGTATTTTAGATGTTTTTATTTCTTCAAATTTATTATTTATCAGGAGTGACTGAAATAAAAAATATAACTGAGTCTCATCATCATCATCATGAAAATAACTTTAAGAGAAAACTGGTCAGATGAATATTATTGCTTCCCATTTCCAACCAGTAAATAGTTGCCAATAATAGACAGCCAAGGGGTTGTCAAAAATGCTTAAGATATGTTATACAACATGCCTGTTCATAGGAGAAAAAAAAAAACCTAAGAAATAACTTAGGTGAACTTCTTGATTTTATCATACAAGACGAGCACAAAAGCACCACCCATCCCTCTGAAAACATTGGACCATGCACTCTTGATAAAAACTTTGCCCCCTCCGTCTCGAGCAATCTTCCTCCAGCAGTCAAGCGTGCCTGTGCGTGTGATACCAGTTCCTTTGCGCCCCTGACTGCATCATCATGCGGCGACGAACAGTGTCAAACGGATAGGACGTCAACCCGGCAACGGCAGTGACAGACTGTGCAATCCAGCTAATGAAGATATGAGTATTCTTGGGATCTGGAAGCATTCCCTTTGCAGTGTCATAGATACCAAAGTGAGCAGCTCGGTAGGTGATAATACCCTGCACGGACACGTTAAAGCCTTGGTACAGGCCCCTAATCCCATCAGATTTGTAGATCTTAACCAGACAGTCGCCGAGGCCTTTGAATTCCCTTTCAGCTCCAGCTTTACCCACATCAGCTGCCAGACGGGTACGGGCAAAATCAAGAGGGTACACAAAGCACAAAGATGTGGCCTCAGCAGCACCACCAGATGCCAGGTTCCCTGCAAAGTAAAAGTAGCGCCAAAACTGGGTCCTCTTGTCCACACCACCCAGGAAGATCTGCTTGTATTTATCTTTGAAGGCAAAGTTGAGAGCCTGGGTGGGAAAGTATCTGATGACATTGGCTAGGTTACCATGCCAGGACAGGACTCCCTGCTTCTTGGGGATTTGAACCACACAGTCTATAATGCCCTTGCATTGCTTAGCTGCGGTGATCCGCTTGCCGGCATGATGCACCTGCAGCAGCAACTTGACCCGCTTGATGGGCGCTACCACAGTCTTGGAGATGGCCGCGGCCACTCCACCTGCCAGGAAGTCCTTGGCAATAGACACAACGGCATCTGTCGTGTTGAAAGGAAAAAGGAGGCAGGCAACTGTGGGCTGGGCCTGGGCTGGGAACCGGCTTAGACTCCTGAGTCTTCCATATGCTTCTTACCAGACCTCATAACTGGTCTTCCAGCCTTGCTTCTTCCAACACCCTAAGTAGTTAGTCAGCAAGCTAATTTGTTAGTCCGTATATCCCAATTTCAGGTCACTTCTCTCCTCCTCTAACTACTGTGCCTCAGGGATACTCTGTAGTGCAAAAACAATTCATTTACAACTTCAATACATACATTGAGTTGATCCATCCATGTTCCAATCTTGTGCTTTTTTCTCCTTCCTTAACAGGTGAAATGGGGGAGAAGCACTGTTACAACAGTGATAGATGGCATGGAGGTTTGGGATATATGTTTGTTCGTTATTTTCTTATATCTTCTGGACCTGCTCAAGTTTGATACTGGAAGGGTCATATCCATATTATGGTGGGTTGCTCCTGGAGTCATCTGCCTTTTGTTGAAACTATTAGTGACATGCTAGAAAATATTTAATAATTGCATTTGAAAAATACTGTTTTGGTTTATAGCATTTTCTGAGTTTTATAACTATTTCCACAATGGCTGATTTCAAGTGCCTACGTGATGCCACAGAACATGAGGTTGGAAAGGGATGTGCTGGTACAAATCACTTCTAGCGTATCGCCATGTTTAGCTGGTGATGGAAAGTTCTGACCACTTGAAGTCACTTGAGAGACTGTGGTTTGATGTTCAGTTTCAATTGGGGCCTACCCGTAAAATGAGATTTCTTTATCAGTAGTGTATAATTCTGTGCTGCAGATGTCATAGCTTTGGGGGAATCCTAGGAGTATACCCTGTATATAACGTATTTCACTACCATAAAAGCTCTAGTGCCATGGATCATGTGGTCCAAGAAATAATCATGGATTTTATGAAGAACTACTTCTTGTCCTAAGTTCAAAACTAACGTCTTTGTGTATTAAGTGATGAATGGGTCATAGTATTTTACTGTATGTTCTTCTATGTTGCCTCTCAAATTCAACCAGACCTACCAAACAGTGCAATTTCGTAATAACTTTTTCAAAGAATTGTTTATTTTATTTTATTTATTATTATTATTTTAATTTGACCATAGAGAGACAGAGGGAGAGTGAGGGAGGAAAAATGAAAAAAGCAAGCCACTAGATCTGGGATGCGGATTGCAGTCAGCCACATGGGAGTCCAGCGCCTTAATCACCATGCCCCCTGCCAGTCCCACTTATTCTTTATTTTTGAGTAGATATTCTAGGCTGCCCAGAACACTGAAACCCCTACAAACTTTACCTATGTGGCAGCCTCCTGAATCTCTGAGTTTTGTCTCTCTCTGTAGCATACATATCTTTCCAAAGCATCCATAATACTTACCATTTCTTGCTTTATCAGATATTCTTAACGTGGCATTTTCAATATATTGGATCAGAGTGATGTGCTGGAGAATTTCCAGGTACTCAGGGCTCTTCTGATAATAGCATGACAGAAAACAGAATTAATATAGCCCTGGGGTAAGACTATGAATGTACGCTGTTGTTTGTCTATGTGAATGAGAACTTCTGATCTTTTTCCTGATAAGAATGATAAAGAGAACATTTGTAAGTTCGATGGTGACAGGCCAGGTAGTCAAGACTGTGTAAATCTGCTCTAGGTAATATGCTGCATGTGATGCAGCAGCTGTATTGAGGTGATGGTTTATTAGATTGAGATAGTTCACTGTAATCTATGGTCCATTCATTTTTTTTTTAGGGGCAGACTAGTATTGAATGGGGTTTATTGTGGATGTTATTTCTTTATCATTAAAGCTTTGAGGGTGGCACTTATTTTTGCCATTCCTCTGAGAAGTTGTTAGGGATTGGTCTGTATCGCCCCACAAGGTACACTAAAGTCTTTATCCCTAGTGCTGGTGAATGTGAGCTTATCTGGAAATAGGGTTATTGCATGTATTAGTAGTTAAGATGAATTCATAATGGCATACGTTAGGCCTTTAACTCAGTATAACTGGTGTTTCCATAAGAAGAGAGAAATGTGGACACAGATTCATACATAGAGGAAAGACATTTATGTGACTATGAAGGCAGAGATTGGAGCCATGAAGTACTTGGGGGCTACCAAAAGCTGGAAGAGGCCAGGAAATATCCTTCCATAAAGATGTTGAAGGGAGGGGGAACCGGCAGTTAGCGTAATGGCTATGTCGCTGGACTCCCACGTAGTCGATCGCGGTTCATGTCCCGGACCCGGTGGCTTAAAACTCACGCCGGGCACGTGTGCGTGCGTGCCCAAGATCCCGAGAGGAGAATGGAGGAGAAGGGATTGCGGCGTGACCATCTCCCCTGGGGGGTGAGTGCACGCGCCCTACAGTGAAAATCTCTCAAA